ATTATTATTATATATTATTATTATAATATATTATTATTATTATTATATATTATTATTATTATATATTATTATATATTTATATTATATATTATTATTATTACATATTTATATTATATATTATTATTATTATATATTATTATTATAATATATTATTATTATATATTATTATTATTATATATTATTATATATTTATATTATATATTATTATTATTATTACATATTTATATTATATATTATTATTATTATATATTATTATTATTATTATATATTATTATTATTATATATTATTATTATTATTATTACATATTTATATTATATATTATTATTATTATTATATATTATAGATATAAAATATAAAAAGTTAATAATAGTTTATCAGTTTAATGGACAGGAAGTGAGTGTAAGTTACTGTCAATGTAATCGATTACAAGGTGTAATATCTGAGTACAGCAGGAAGTACAACTCAAAGGAACAATATGCTGCACTACAGTAACTGTCTGTCTCTCTCCTGTCTCTCTCTCTCTCTCTCCTGTCTCTCTCTCTCTCTCCTGTCTCTCTCTCTCTCTCCTGTCTCTCTCTCTCTCTCCTGTCTCTCTCCCTCCTGTCTCTCTCTCTCTCTCCTGTCTCTCTCTCTCTCTCCTGTCTCTCTCTCTCCTGTCTCTCTCCCTCCTGTCTCTCTCTCTCTCTCCTGTCTCTCTCTCTCTCCTGTCTCTCTCTCTCTCCTGTCTCTCTCTCTCCTGTCTCTCTCCCTCCTGTCTCTCTCTCTCTCCCTGTCTCTCTCTCTCTCCTGTCTCTCTCTCTCCTGTCTCTCTCTCTCCTGTCTCCCTCTCTCTCCTGTCTCTCTCCCTCCTGTCTCTCTCTCTCTCTCCTGTCTCTCTCTCTCTCTCCTGTCTCTCTCTCTCCTGTCTGTCTCTCTCCTGTCTGTCTCTCTCTCCTGTCTCTCTCTCTCTCCTTCTCTCTCTCTCCCTGTCTCTCTCTCTCCTGTCTGTCTCTCTCTCCTGTCTCTCTCTCTCTCCTGTCTCTCTCTCTCCTGTCTCTCTCTCTCCTGTCTCTCTCTCTCTTGCTGTCTCTCTCTGCTGTCTCTCTCCCTCCTGTCTCTCTCTCTCCCTGTCTCTCTCTCTCTCTCTGTCTCTCTCTCTCCTGTCTCTCTCTCTCCTGTCTCTCTCTCTCTCTCTCTCTCTCTCTCTCTCTCTGCTGTCTCTCTCTGCTGTCTCTCTCCCTCCTGTCTCTCTCTCTCCTGTCTCTCTCTCTCTCTCCTGTCTCTCTCTCTCCTGTCTCTCTCTCCTGTCTCTCTCTCTCTTGTCTCTCTCTCTCTCTCTCCTGTCTCTCTCTCTCCTGTCTCTCTCTCTCTCCTGTCTCTCTCTCTCTGCTGTCTCTCTCTCTCTCTCTGCTGTCTCTCTCTGCTGTCTCTCTCTCTCCTGTCTCTCTCTCTCCTGTCTCTCTCTCTCTCTCCCTGTCTCTCTCTCTCCCTCCTGTCTCTCTCTCTCTCCTGTCTCCCCCCAGTGAGAGGACTGTTGGATAAGAGCTAACAGTAGCTAAAGCTAACTGACTGAGCTCGGTGAGGTTTCTCTCCCCCCCCACACACACACACACACACACACACACACACACACCCCCCTCAGAAGAGCCCCTCACCTTCCGTGTTTCCGCTGTGACTCCTATCGGATCCATAGTTTCGGTTAATCGATAGTTTGAAGAGTGAATGGTTGCTAGCCGTTGAGCTAACGTTAGCACGGTCCGGTTGAGACGTCCTGAGAACGAGACTAACGAGATCTCGCGATGTGACGCGTGTTCCCGCAGCTGCTGACGAACTGCAGTTATAAGATATAAAATATAAAATGTCTCCGTGAGGAGGTTTACTCTGAGTGAGCGCGATGTTGTTGTTGATGTTGTTGTTGTTGTTGTTGTTGTTGTTGTTGAGAGGAGGAGAGACTCGAGAGCACTTTCTCAGCTGAGCGGACCTTGGCACAACAGGAAATACGTCACTGACCGGGGAGGCTACAGTGCGCCTTCACAATAAAAGCCCACACGCTCTTAATTAATTAATTGCGATTTATTGTCGATATGTGATTGAAGCGGACTCAATGAATCGATCCGCTGACACACAGACAATTAATAATTCTGATAATTATTAATGATTTTCGATCCTTGTTAACTGGAAATATTTTTACAAAACTATAAGAATAATTAACTCATTATTCGATAATGAAAAGTTTCATGTAGTTATATTTTTTTATTTAAATAAAATGTGTTCCTGAGTATAATATATTTTATTTTAAATGCCAGAAGCATTTTACGCAATTTACTAAATATACAATTTATTAACAAAAACCTGCATTAATAAAAACATAGGCTTTATTATTATTATTATTATTATTAGTAGTAGTAGTATTGTCAGGAGCTGTAATTTTATTTTTTATATATTTTTTTTAATAAATAAAACTTTATTGAAGATATTAAAGTGAAAAATGTTGATAATTAATAAAAATAACTACATGATATAAATGTTAGAAAGTATAAAAAATAAACACAAACACATAAAGAACAAACATTGTAAACATAATAAATTAAAATACCGTCTATAAACGGATTTATTTTGTGTTCAGCTGACTTCCGGTAGCCTATATGCACACATGCGTGTTCCCGCGTGCGCGCGCCAGCCGCCGCCGTGTGCGCGCACAACCTACAATCTGTCCAGGTTGACTCGTGAACGCGCATGGCCGTCAGCTGCTGTCACAGGCGGCAGCGTCCAGGTGGGTCAAGTCAGACAACGTCAACAGGAAGAGGGCCGGAAACCAGTAGCGTCTGCCTTCAAAGTAAAAGTAACTCAAACACAAACTTCCTGCAGTTGTTGTGTTCACGGTATCATATTAGATTATTTCATATTATTCTCAGCTGTTCAATGAACCCAAACAATGTAATACATTAATTTGAAGCTCTTTTTAAAGATGATTTCCTGTGAATATTGATCAGAGATGAGTTTTTCTCTCATTATCAGGAACCTTTTATCCAATTATCTGTCGGTATTATGTTATGATTAATATCTATCTTTTGTTTGATTGATTTTTTTTACAATCATACATATTGAACAGGTTCCTTTTCTTTATTATATTCAGTGTTTTCTTCTCCCTGATACCAGAGAGTGACTTCAGGTTGTGTTCAGATCCTCACCGTTAACATTTTAAACTTTAAACTTTAATACTGACGCAAACAGGTCAAAAACAAAACGACTCTTCTTTTGAAACTGGTGACCGGAAGTCGCGCTGTTTATTTTGAAAACTTGACGTTTTCAGGAGCATCCTGACGTCTTCCTCGGAGCACAAAGTGAAAACGCATCAGTGTGATGCTGCGTCCTCCTCACGCGTTACGGTGCCCGCACGGACCCGCAAGGACAGGCTGCAGCCCCCGCAGACGCCTTCAGGGACCTCTATCTGGATCTTGTTCTTTTCTAATTTAAATCCCTGCTTTTGTTTTTTTATTTAATTTTATCCGGAAACCTCTTTTTGTCCGCGGGATACCGATGGCCACCTCCGCCACCGTCCCCAGCATCAGCACCACCACCGGAGGGCCGTCGGGCCAACCAGGACGGCCGGGATTCAACCAGCACACCTAGCAGGTCGCTTCACTGTCAGTATCTCACTCTCTGTATCACTCCTCCTTAAAATCTGCATCCAGGATTAATGCGCTCACTCTCTCTCCTCCTGCAGGATGCTCCCACAGCTCTACCTCACACACACACACACACACACACACACACACACACACACACACACACACACACACACACATATATATTCGCCTTTATGTTTGATTTAAAGCAGAGCTCCCGTGGGACGTTCAAGTGTCTCCTCTTCCATTATGCTCTCAGTGGACATCTGACACAGTTAATGTGAGCGGCAGATGGGGACGAGTTGGGGGGGGGTGGGGGTCATCTTCAACCCTAACCCCCCCAATATAAGATGGAGACTAAAGACAGATAAACTTTATTGACCTCTAACAGTGAAAAATCAAATATATGAACAACTATTGTCCAAAATGAAACATTTAACTAATTATAACGTAATTAAAGTGAATGGAGACAAAAACTGGCATTACATTAGAAAAACATGAATTATACAGTTATATGATATTTATAAAGATTTCTTTTGTTTTAGGACTATATTAACATTCACATTTAAAGGAACAGTCTGCGACACGTTTGGCTTCAGCTGCTAAATCTAAAAGATTGACTCATTAAAAGTGGGAAAAAATATTGATTTATAAGATTTTTACAGCAGTTTTTGCGAAGGTGGCAAATGTGTGATTTTTTTTAAAGGGTTAATCAAGAGTCCTTTAATTTATTGCGATTTATTGTCTGACTTTAAAAACACCCGTACGCCCAATTATACCTTCAAATAACGAATTAAAACTGATCAGAAAATTAAAATTAAAGTAACAGGAACCATCTTTGGAGGATTTTATTTACATACTGCAGCTTGCCACCAGGGGGCGATAGAGATACGTCGGCTAATAAACTGAAAATAAGAAGATCTGGTGTCAGTCGTTTAAACTTTCTGTTTTATTGCATTTTTATAACAAGAATAAACAATAAAAACCCAACAGAAACGTAAGAAAGCAGAGATTTGGTTTCCCTTTTGTTCCTTAAACCATCTCGTCTTTACAGTTCACTCTTCTCACAGGCTTTTCTTTCAGCTGGAGTTTGGAGCTCTTACGTTATTAATCCAGTTATTAATACTCAACTGTCCCCAAGGAGACACAACCGTGGTGATCTGGGGAGTTCACATCCCCATTTTAATTTTAATTAGAATTTATTTTGTACAGAACTGCTCCAAACTTTTCCACCAAGTTCCCAAAACTCACATCGTTCCTACAGCAGCCATCTATAATCTATAATCTATAATCTATAATCTCCAGGTTGCTATCAGTGAGTAAACTGACTATATTTTATGGATATTTCATATTATATATTCAATGTATAACAGTAACAGTAGAAGAACAGCTGATACACTGTTATTATGTGAATATTGATCAGAGACGAGTTTTCCTGATATTTGTAGGAACTTTTCATACAGTCTGTATATTATCTCTGTCTGTATTGTGTAGTTTCACAGATTTAATAGGTTTCTTTGTTGACATATTCAGGGTTTTCTCCTCCCTGACTCTTGGCTGTGAGGTCTTTAAATGCTCCGACCAGCAGTTTAGATCTTAAATAAAAATCTAAACTTTAAAAACTTCTCCACTGAAATGAACTAAATGCTGAGATAAAGGCGTAAACTGAAGCTCTGGCGACCCCCAGTGGGGTCCCGACCCCCCAGGTTGAGAACCGCTGCTGTTAACTGTTCCTCTCTCCTACAGGCTGAGGAGGCCCCCCCATCAGACCCAGCTGCCTTAACCGACCTCTGACCTGTTCTGTGACAACCCAACCCAGAGGTCAGTGCAGAACCACAGGACTCGTCATCATCATCATCATCATCATCATCGAGCCTCCGGCGATGAGGGTCGAGGTGGTCTGATAAAAACCCGGAACCTGGAAGATGACAGAGAGCCGGAGGAGGAGGAGGGAGCTGTGAGACGTCTCTGCCATGACCCAGTAACAAACTCCACATCCAGTCCAGCACCAGGAACCAAAAAACACCACCAGAACATCCAGCTTCCTCAGAGGCAACAATGTAGAAGAAGACAGCGGAGACGATTGTCCAGCTTTCACCATCAAAGACCACCAGGATTGTCTTCAACTGCGTCGTTATGTTTTTATAAATATGGAATTTAAACTCCTCACAAACACAGACAGCGAGTAAGATTGTGTTAAAAAAGACTCAACAACCACATTAAGATTGTTCCAAACGAGTCGATCCAACAGAACCCAACGGGAACGTTATTTCAGGAGCCAAACAGGAGCGAGGACGCCACGATGACGCATCTGCACGCCGGACTGAGCTCAGAGACGACGGAGAAGGCTCGCTTAGAGCTGAACGAAAACCCGGACACGCTGCATCAGGACATCCAGCAGGTACACGGCGTCATATTCTACCTGGGTTAGACAATGTTAGCACAGGTTCTCCGGTTCCTTCCAGCCAAGAACCAGCAAACAAATTATATTCTGTCACTGGTTGAAGAGATAAAGTAATAAAAAGTCCTTTTAATCCTTATTGTTATATTCATCCTATATTTAGTTTATGCCAAGAAAATTCACAAAAACTCAATTTCTTTGTATTTTTATATCGAAATCCGATTATTTTGTCTTCCTGTAAAACAAAACGAACTGATTTCAACCAATAATATAAACTTTTAGTGACACACAGTGAAGATTTATTCATTAGTGGAGTGTTTCTGTTATTAAAGGTTATTAAATTATTAAAATCGATCCAAAAGTTCTGCATGAAGAGACAAAATGCCTGCACTGAAGCTGTATTGATTCTTCAATAAAGCTCACAGAGCCGATACCGATCACTTCACAAATGCATTGATACCGATCGTTGAGATCGGATCAGGACATTCCTAGTTGTTGGAAGCATTATGGTGAACAGGTTCCACACACAATACTTGTCAGTGGAAACATTTTCAAATAGAGCAGATCTAGACCGAACTCCTTATGAAATTATTCACAGAGACTCAACAGTTCCCACCATGAGCAGGACCTTGGCGACGGGGGCAAGGAACAACTTCCTGTTAGGAGGCAGAAACCTGGAGCAGTTCCTCTAACGTCCACTAGAGGCTCCACCAGGGGGCCGACACTACTGTACAATGTGAGACTCATGTTTCTGTCTGTGCTGACTCGAGGTGCGGGACATGATCGTGACGCGGCCGGACATCGGTTTCCTGCGGACGGACGACGACTTCATCCTCCGTTTCCTGCGAGCCAGGAAGTTCGACCAGATGGAGACCTTCAGGCTGCTGGCCCAGTACTTCCAGTTCCGACAGCAGAACCTCGACATGTTCCAGAGCTTCAAGGTCCGTCTTTAATACTTTAATGTGCTTCGTGTTTATGTGATTTTGGTTAGTTAGTAGTTTAATAGTTTCAGGAGAAGTCAGGAACCAGCAGTGTATTCGTTTCAGGTGGACGACCCGGGTATTAAGCGGGCACTGATGGACGGTTTCCCTGGCGTACTGGAGACTCCGGACCAACATGGCCGAAAAATCCTCATCCTGTTCGCCTCCAACTGGGACCAGAGCAGGTAACACACACACAGACACACACACACACACACAGACACACACAGACACACACACACACACAGACACACACACACACACACACTATTGACTGAAAACAACAAAGAGCCTAATGAATCATTTTTTGTAAATTACACACTGTGGTTAAGACTTACAGCGTGAAGGACCGTCACACTCGCTTTAACTATTGATTACCTGTTGACACACACACACACACACACACACACACACACACACACACACACACACACACACACACACACACACACACGCTCAGTAATCTTCTCCGCCTCCGTCAGGAACTCGTTCACGGACATCCTGCGAGCGATCCTTCTCTCTCTGGAGGTTTTGATAGAGAACCCGGAGCTCCAGATCAACGGCTTCATCCTCATCATCGACTGGAGCAACTTCTCCTTCAAGCAGGCCTCCAAGCTCACGCCCAACATCCTGAAACTGGCGATCGAAGGCCTCCAGGTGAGTGGAAACACTCCGATAGGATCGATTGATGAGCTTGAGCTCGCGGTTAGAGGCAGGTCTCTTTTACTGGCCTGGTACTCCGGAGTACCACCAGGGGCACAACTGGAACTGAACTAATTCAGACTCACTGATGTTGTTTAATGTTGAGGGTTGATTGTTGATCCTGGATTAAGTTAAACTGAATAACTCTCCTCTCCTCCCCCCTCCTCTCCCTCTCCTCTCCTCCTCCTCCTCTCCTCTCCTCTCCTCCCTCCTCTCCTCCTCCTCCTCGTCTCCTCAGGACAGTTTTCCCGCTCGGTTTGGAGGAATCCATTTTGTGAATCAGCCGTGGTACATTCACGCCATGTACACCATCATCAAACCTTTCCTCAAGGACAAGACCAGGAAGAGGGTGAACACACACACACACACACACACACGTCCTCTTCCCTCTTTTTCTTTTCTGCCTCCTCTCTTCTTTCTCCTCCATTTAATTTTCACCTTTTCTCCTCCTTTTGTCAGTTGTCTGTTTTATCTTCTCTTTTGATTATTAACACCCTCCTCTCCTCGTTCTTCTTCCTGCTTTCTCTCCTCTCTTTGTCTCCTCTCGTTATTTCCTCTCGCCTCCTCTCCTCCCTTTGTTTCCTCTCTTCTCTCACTCTCCCTTACTCTCTTTCCTCCTCTCCTCGTCTCCTCTCACCTTCTCCACTCTCACTGTCTCCTCCTCTCCTCTCTTGGTTTCCTCTCTCTCCCTCTCTCTCCCTCCCTCTGACTCTCTTTCCTTGTTTCCTCCCCTTCCCTCTCCTCTCCTCTCCTCTCACTCTCTCTCCCCCTCTCTCTTACTCTCTCTTTCCTCCCCTCCATGTCTCCTCACTCTCTCTCTCGTTTCCTCTCGCCTGCTCTACTCTCACTGTCTCCTTCTGTCCTCCCTTTGTTTCCTCTCTTCTCTCACTCTCTCTCTCTCCTCTCCTCCTTCCTCCTCTCTCTCTCCTCCTCTCCTCAGATCTTCCTCCACGGTAACAACCTGAACTCGCTCCACCAGCTCATCCAGCCCGAGTGTTTGCCGTCAGAGTTCGGTGGGACTCTGCCTCCGTACGATATGGGCATCTGGGCCCGAACGCTGCTGGGACCCGACTACAACGACGAGACCGAGTACACGCTGACCTACGACGCCCTGCACGTCAGGGAGAACTGTGGAGGGGGAGGAGGAGGAGACAAGGACATGATGAAGAGGTGAGGAGAAAGTGTTTTTGCTTTGAACTTTAACATCCTTCAAACAAACAGTAGAAATCTTTATTCGCAGTGAAAATGAACATTTTTCTCCATTAAAGTGAAATCAAATACATATTTTAGACGTCTCGGTTTAAAGACACTGTGTGAAAGTCCAGAAATAAAATATTTAACATAAGGAATATATCATTCCCTTTAGCTCCAGATGTGCTGATTGGGCTGTTTTTATGACTTTTAGAGATTCGTTGGTTCTGTTTAATTATAAAATGCTTTTATTAATTAAATCACCCAAAAGTGTATAAAGTAGTTCAAATGAGCTCAACCTTTAACATCTACAACATTAATGGGTTGAAAATGGCTTCAAATCAACCTGAAAGTCCAATACTGACACAGAGTGGACAGTTTGGGATATTTCTATAAAAACAGAGTTAACGCCCTCTAAGAGGAGGCCGGCCCACCTCCCCCACCTCCCCCAGCGTCCTCTCTGCATCCCCTACCTCCCCCAGCCTGGCTTAGCTACCACACAGCGGCCGCCGCTGTATTTCTAGTGACTGTAAGAGCTGCAGCAGACTCTGTATTTCCAGGATGTTAGCAATTACCGGCTCGCTGTTCCTGCTACGCTGCTGTGGTCAGTCTGTCAGTCACTGTGGTCGCTGTTGAGGCCACGCCCACTTCCTGTGTACTGTTACTACAACTATCAGTGTGTGTGTGTGTGTGTGTGTGTGTGTGTGTGTGTGTGTTTTCAGGTCTCAGTCGGCGGTGGAACCAGGAACTCTCCGACAAACGGACAGAGACACCAGCACACCACTACTGGCCCTGGACTGAACACACACACACACACACACACACACACACACACACACACACACACACACACACACACACACACACACACAGTAGAGCCGTCACACACAACAACACACACGCAGATCTAATGAACACACACACACACATTATATCTGTCTCTATAACACACACACACACACACACACACACACACACACACACACACACACACAGCACCAGCTGTGTGTTAAGCTGGTAGATTTGAACTTGTGTCCTTTTGTCCTGTTGACGTGAACTTTGACAGCGACTGAACTTCCTGAACAGGACACACACACACACACACACACACACACACACACACTCTCACACACACACACACACACACACACACACACACACACACACACACACACACACACACACACACACACACAATCTGTCCTGTCTCTGAGCCGTCTAATGCCTCCCAGCTGAGCCTCTCTCCAGCCAGCAGCATCTGTCCTGATGTCCACGACAACAACAACAACAACAACAACACGAAGTGTGTGTGTGAGTTTCTGCTGCACAGCTGCGTGCTTCAAGTTTTTTCCTAATTCAGTCAGAAACGAGCAGGAATGTAACTCCGTGGTCACATTTAATCCGTCTGCGAGTCAGAAACCAGAGAATCAGACACACGGAGGGATGTGGAGAAACTTTATTGAAACCTCGGACTGACGCCAGGCGGCGTTAGCGAAGAGGACGCTGAGACTAAAACGACGACATATTCAATCACATCCACGATTGAGGAACATTCAGAGCGAGTCGCACCAACAAGGATTCGTTTAAAAAACATTTATTTAAGTTTTGCTCTAAAATCATAAACCCAGATTGAAATAGATTGTTTGAGGGAAACAAAGAGAATCATTTGTCATCAGTTAATACGAATGGATGTTTGTGTCTGGGATAATAATGCAATAAGCTTTGGAGCCATAGTGCCCATAATGCTCCAGGGGATGTAAACAGGAAGTATACCGTTGAGCCCCGTTTTCTCTTTAGCCTGTATTTGTTGACATTTTTGGCAAAGTGGCATTAAGAGTACGCTGAATTAGCTGTTAGCACTTCCTGTTAGCGGTGTACCGTCACTGGATTACTTTAATACTGAGGGAAAACTGATGATTCTCAGGCAAGTTCTGCAGTTTCTTCTATAATTTCTAAGCAGATTTATGGACGTCGGACTTCAGAGAGGATGATAAATATATTCTCAGAAAGTTTAACTCACACTGAATCTAAAAATATGTGTATGATGTCTGTGTGTTAAGGTTTGATTGAGTTATGACTCAGAGAGTGGGTTCGTTTTTTAACTCCCGTACGCTTCGTGCACTATTTTTTTGCCCCACCGTTCCCCCTCTGCACCTCCCTTTGACCTCTCCTGCACCCCCCCGAGGAGGCGCCTCACAGTTTGAAAACCTCTGGAACGGTCAAATGACAGAAAATGAACCAACTTATAAATTATTAATCGCTGTAATTAATTTACAAAGAAAAAAAAAAACAACAACAAACATGCTAAAGTTGAGAATTTTCTTTTCTGTTTAAAATCTCTGTAATCTACCTTTAAATGAACTGCCATAGCAACGGAGTCCTTAAATTGGCTGTTTTAGTGGAAACATACTGAATGATTTACAGTTAACCAGGTGAATATTGGACTCAAACAGGACTCCAATGGGGTGATCATGTTGTTCTGTGTCTGCTGGATGAGTAAATGTGTCACATAAACAACTTAATGAGGAGATAATTGTGTTTACAGCTTTAAAGAAAAGTTTCACACTAATCTTCACACTAAAGTTCCACCTTAACAATCACTGCTTCTCCCACGCTGTTGGACAGACAGAGGACGTCCCGGAGGGGCTGCGAGCCGAGCTGCTTAAGATCCAGACGTCCGATGACTAAAATCCTTCATCCGGTTCAAATCTAGAGTTAAAAAGCACCAAGATCTAAACAGTGGATGGTAACAATGTGGCTTCAGACTGGAAACATTTGGGATAATGTAACTCAACTACATACAGACAGTTACAGATTATAGCTTTAATACCAAGATTAAAGATAATCCTTGTTGGTGACACTCAGTTGTAAATGTTTCAAGAACATTTATCTTCCTCGTTTTCTAAGCTGTGAATCTAAACTCTACAGTTTCAGGTCCCCGTGCGGTTCCCTAACAGCGACTCTTCTCACATCAGTGAATCAAAATAGTTTGAATTCAGCCAAATATTCGTCCTTAACAAAAGAAAAAGAAAAAACCTCACTTTGGTAGAATATTTGTAAAACAACAAAATCACGTCAAGTTAGACAGACTTTGCACAAGAATTTCAAAATAAAAGCACCGCACATTAAAAAAACCCCGGCAGATATTATAACCGCATCACACGCATGAAACATAACGAGTTGTTCTACCAGAGTGAAATGTTTGTTTCTGAAGACGTGTCGTGCTGTGACGAGACCACAGGATGCCAAATTATCACCTTTAACCTCGAACTGCAGTGAAGGCAAAGATTGTTTTTATTGAATTTAACTTATTTGAAGATTGTATATTATTGTTACAAGTATTATTACACTGCAAAAAAGCGTGACACACTCTGGCCGAGTTGATCCTGAGATGTTTTAAGTCAAATTATCTTGTTAAACGTCGTGAGCATGAGAGGATAATTTCACTTCGAAAACTTAAATTAGGATTATTTGTCAAATATAAAAGGCAGAGTTTGTCATTATTTTTTTGCAGTGTGTTTGACTCATCATCAGGGCTACACTGATCTGATCTCCACTCGACTGTAATGTAATGTATTTCCTTTCAATGAATGTATAGAAGTAAACATTTACACCGACGTGAGTGTGTTGTGTTTTTTATTTGAACAGTGGGGATTTTATTTTGAAGACATTGTCCAAAAACTGAAGTTCATTCATGCAGAAACACCACCAGACACATTGTGTTACATAACAGGAGCAATAGCAGATGGAGCTAAGATCTTTTTAATGGTGGCAAAAAGAGTCACCACTGCCATCTACTGTACATCAGTGGTACGACAGGTTAATGGAACTTTAATTTAACTCCAAGTGAAAATGTTTTTAAACCGATGGGTTAGATAATGAAACAAAGCAGCTGTGTATGATTCAAATGTTCTTAAGTATAAATGTTAAAAAAACAACAACAAAACAAAAACTTCAACACAAACTGATACAAACAAACAAACAACACTTTTGTTTTGTGGTTTTGATTTTTTTCAGTATTTTTTTATTTTTAATATAAATATAAATCATCTTTTATAACATCTCGTGTGTCCTTGTTACTGTGCAAAAGTGATGAAAAAAGTGAGACTAAAAACCCGGCGGGATAAACTGAAGAAATGCATAGTGGTCGAGCTAAAATTAAGGCTTCTTCTCTTCATGAACGGCAACAGATCATTTTTAAAGTGTAATGAAGGCGATTCTGTCAATCTGTTTTAGTGTTTTAAGGATTCATCGACACGAAGGCGTGAAACACCAGAGGGCGGGTTTTTGGTTTGAGGCTCAGTAACGTCTCTACAGCTGCAGATGACATCCAACTTTCCCAAAAACATGAAATCAATCACAAGGTTCCCAGTCCAAAACAGGGCGGAACCGGGTCAGTCGGGACTAAAAGGAGTACGTGTTCAGTTTGTTGTTTGGTGAAAGGTTGTAAAGTCAGTAGTAACTTCGTTCTTTATTTCCATCCTTCAGTCTGATGGTTTGATCCTTCAATAGTCTTCGACAAGTTTAGTAGTTTATCCACAAAAAAAGCAAAAATAAGTCCGTCGCCACGTGATCCTTCTCAGTCTCAGGGGAGGGGGGGGGCAGTCAGAGCTGGTCCCATTAATCTGTCAGATTGTTCTTACCGGGTCTGCGGTCTGGGTCCTCTGTGTGTTCGGGTTGGTTTAAATCGGGCTCAGGGTCTGGCGCTGGTACGCCGTTAACTCCGGGTGCCAAACGTCCACGATGAAGATGAGGCGGTAGCTGTCGGCGTCCTGCCAAACCTCGTGCTCGAAGGAGTCGTCGAAGATGAGGACTTTACCCTCCTCCCATTCCCTGCGACAGCACAGGAAGGAGAAGGTTAACAGAGATTAGTGACGGTACACAGCCACAGAGATTCTGAGTCTCTAATAATTAACTAATGAACTAATAATTCTGGTTTTATTATATTTGGAATCTGATCACAAATCAATCAGATTTCATTTGTGTGAAAAAAAACTCCTTCATATCAAAAAGGAAAATTAAAGATGAAATGTTTTTTGAGAGAAGAGATGAGGAGAGGAAACAAAGCAAGGAGATGTTTAAAGGAAAGAAGGAGAGGAGAAATCAGATTGATGAGAAAAGATTGAATAAATAAAATTGTATGGACACAAAGAGGAAGAGGAGGAGGTGAGAAATGGAACGAGGAGGAAGAGGAGGAGTCCAGTACCTGGTCTGGTCGGTGCAGCGGATCCTGCAGCCCTGTTTGGGGATGACGAGGCCGAGGTGCATCCTCAGTCTGCAGTTAGTGGGACCAGTGTGAGGCCACACATGAGTACCTGGCTGCATGACTGAGAACTTAATCTGAACACACACACACACACACACACACACACACACACACACACACACACACACACAGATTATCTTCACTAAACTGACTCCGTAATCAGATCTGAGTTATGTTGTGAAACAGTCCTGGTTCAGAGGGTAAAAGCCTGCATTTGATTTTAAAGTCAAGCTGATCATTTGCAAGCAGCAGCAGATTTTAAGCGATGAAATCAGTCCAGAAACATGTTGATGGCCTAAACAAGAAAGCATCCTGATTGTAAGACGAAGCGATATCACCATATCCTGACAGTAGAACACGAGAAGGAAGGGAAAAGGTTGGGAACTGCTGGCTTAGAAGACAGAAACATTGGCTGGAAATATTCACATTACTAATTTTAACAAACAAAACTGGAACTAATTAAGCACGTTTGACTCTCCGTCTTCCAGACTGATCCTTGGGAAAGTATAATTTGCGAGATAGACTCTAAATAAGAGAAGTGAAAAGATTGTGTTTCGTCTTCTGGTGCATTTAAAAGGAATATCTGTGTGTACCTGTCCTCTCTTGCAGCCTGTAGCTTCAGGGTATCTCTCCAGCAGTGAGCAGGTCTTTGGGACGCCCTGACAGGAACTTCCAGCTTTTTTCCCTAAATACACAAAAAATACAGGCACACCTCATTACAGCCACAGTTATTACTCATTATCAATTATTCTGTTGGTCATTTTTTCACTTAGTCCTTCTATAAAACGTCAGAGAACAGTGAAAAAGGTACCGAAGTGCAAGGTGACGTCTAATCAGAGACCAAAACACAAAGATAAAGAGTGTGTTTGTTGCTTCAAAAGTCTTTTGCTTGAATGAACTGTATCGTCGGTACATCTTTCAACCAGCTGACATGAATGGTGAGTTTAAATATATCTTTAATAATCTGGATAATTTGGAAGCTGTGCTAAGTTAGTTTAAAGTTATCTGATGCCCTAGTGCCGCTTACGGTGTTTTTATAGCACTTTCAGTGGCGTGGTGAGTGTGCGGCTCTCCACCGCTGTCTGTATAGCTGATCAGTCAAGAAATTAGTGTACCTTGTTGCCAGAGTGTGTACTGGCCCCACTCTCCTTTCTCCCTCAGGTTCTCCTCCTCAGGTATGAATAATCCAGTGTTTTGGTCCATCACAGCCAGAGCCTCGTCCCTGATCGTCTTCCAGTTCCTCTCCAACGTCTAAAGATACGCACATATTTTTCACTGAAAGAAAACAAGAAACTCTGCCTCGTACGCATGTAAACACACTCTGACACTTCACCTTGACCAGGTCGTTGTATCCGGTCTCTTTAGGCGTCCACCAGGGCTGAGCCTTCAGCCCGTCCACGTTGTACAGAGATCTCTGCCACACTGAGGCAAAATGACCGTGTTGGTGACCCAACTCGTACCAGTGATAGGCCTGAAGAGACAGTTAGAAACAGTTAGGCAGAACTTATATGGCCGGTTAGCTCAGTTGGTTAGAGCGTGGTGCTAATAACGCCAAGGTCGCGGGTTCGATCCCCGTACGGGCCACACAGTTTTTAAAAGACCCGTATGTACTATTTAGTGTGTTAGTTGCAGATGCAGATTGCAACTCACTCGCTTCACTCTCCCTCCCAAGTGTGACTGGGAGAAACTACGTGAAACACATCAACAGCTCAATCTAAAGTCAAAGTTTGGTTTGTCTATTCTGGGCTACTGTAGAAACACAGATTTAAGAGGCTGTGTATGTGTGTGTGTGTGTGTGTGTGTCGGGGGGGGGGTTACTCACACTTTTGTCTCCGACCCTCTGCAGGGCGTCACCCAGGTGGAAATAAAAACGCCCGTCATCCGTCCCCGGTTCACCTGACTCCAAACCCTCCTGGAGAGACAGAGGATGGCAGTGACGATGTGGGTTTGAGGGGTTTCCTCGTACTTAAGTTACGGTCGGCTGATTTCTTACGAGTCGTTTATATAAAGAAAAATCTTGTTAACAAACTAGATTAAAAGTCAGAAAGCAGAGTACGGGCGGTGATAGTTCCCGACCGGCTCCCTGTATGTGCACATTTACAGGTTCTCTGTCTTCCCTGTGGACATGTGAACAAACAAACAAACAAACAAACAAACAAACAAACAAACAAACAAACAAACGTGTCGGTTTACCTTCAGGTACGGTATACTCTCTGCTATCTTGTTCTCCGACTTCAGGATGAAGCCGTAATGAACTTTAGCGAAGCCGTTGCCGGGGGAAACCGCCAGAACCTGTGGGTGAGGCCAGACAACCAATCAGAGATACAGAGAGAGAGAGAGAGAGAGAACGTCTTTAGCAAACTCCTGTCACTCACAAAAAGTGGGAAACTATCAGCATACACACAAACCTCTTCGTACACCTTCTTGGCGCCCTTGTTGTCTCCTAGCAACAGGTGGGCGACGCCCAGTTCGTTCTTTAGACTGATGTCTTCTGGGAAGATCTGGGTCAGCCTCTCCAGAGTCGCCAGAGACCCACGCATCCGACCTGAGAGAGCAAACTTCAGCTTTAAAGGGGAACTTGGCAACCCTAGCCATTTCTTCTTTGGTTTTCACTTTTGTCGTGAAGAGCTCCCCCTACAGCTCTGGGACGTATATTTCAAAACACTGTCGTAAAAAGACTCACTTGCGACCCCTCCTCCCCCTTTCTACCGCTGCTGATGTGCATTTGTTGCCGGGCAACTTTTTCGTGCGGAGCAATGTCTACCGAGGTGGGTAATACATTCATCGTCGCTTGTTCTTATAGCCGGCGTGGCTAACCGGTATTGAGGGGGGCGTGTGTGTTTATGTGGAATTGCCGTAAAGCCGTTCGTGTTTCTCGCTCGTTCTTTCTTCTCGCGATACTTCCTATTTCCAACTTAACGGGACGGTAGTCCCAAAGTTGCAAGATTGTTTTTCCGCCTGGGGACGCTGGGGGGAGCGGGGAAAGTCACCATTAACACCGGAACAGGCCATTTAACCATCCAAATGATTTCTACACGGGTTTATTAAGTTGAAATAGTTGCCAGGTTCCCCTTTAAAAGGACCAGAGTGTAGGATTTAGTGGTATCGGGTGATTGCAACTCTCATTAATAACGCCAAGGTCGTGGGTTCGACCCCCACACTGGCCAAGTTGCTTTTAAGACATCACTCCAATAATGAGGTTAGACTACTAAGGATCAGCCTGATGATGTCCACTGTGACCTCACACATCTGTGTAGTGTGTAGGAGCAGAAAACAACTGAATCTGTCCAAAGCACGTTGTAGTTGTTCCGGTTGTCGCCGATACGCTGGGACGAAATGGACACAATATTT